CATGGAAAGTGAATGTCTACTACTATGAACTCCAATTTGAGTTTCCTTGATGAGACTTCGGCTTCAAGCTGTAGGGTTATATATATAGATCTAGACACTTGTACAAGTTTTCTTGTCAGGTCAACTAGAGGGGTTTGGACAAGTTTAAGCTTCGCCTGATCTAGTTTCAAAGCCTTGAACACTTCCATGGTCAACAAGTTCATTGCACTACCTTCATCCACCAAGATTCTTTTTACTAGAAAGTTTTCAACAATTACTAGGGCATCATTATGTGGAGTATGTACAAGTTCGCCATCGACCTCAGAGAATGATATGGGCAACCTAGTGCTTGATTTCTATTGGGATAAGTGGAATAGATTTTCCTAACTCTTCTTTTCCTAGTTGAATTGCTATCGTCCCTCGATGAGCCACCAAATATGGTGTGGATTGTGCCTATGGTATGAAATTCTTTCACTGCTTGTCCTTCTGTTCGCTTTCCCTCTGAGTTCTCACAATAAATTACTTGAGTTCGCCTTTTTGTTTAAGGTGTTCTATCTCTTTCTTTAGTTGCCAGCAGGCTTCAGTCTCGTTGCCTACATCCCTATGGAACTCATAATACTTGCTTTTATCTTGATGGCTTGAGGTATCGTCCTTCATCTTTCTAGGATAATAGAATTGAATTTGATCGCCATGTTCTCTTACTCAGGATAATATTTTTGAGCGTGGTCTATTCAAAGGGGTAAACTCCCGATCTTATTGTGGTCTGCCATCATTTGAGTATGGCATTCGAATAGAGTAACTGGTTCGTGGGAATCGGATGGGTGACCTCCTTCAGGGCAATCGTCTCCTTACCGTGGATGGGTGTCTTCTATGTCTATACCTTTCTTCTTTAGGCGATTTATGATAGATTTTTCCGTAACTCTTCTCTTTTCCTCGTTGAAGTTGCTTCGATTCGTCCTCGATGAGCCACCAAATATGGTGTGGATTGTGCCTTGGTATGAAATTCTTTCCATGGCTACAGTTGGGCCTTTTACTGTTCGCTTTCCCTCGTGAGTTCTCACAATAAATTACTTGAGGTTCGCCTTTTTGTTTTAAGAGTGTTTCTATCTCTTCCTTTAGTTGCCCAGCAAAGGCTTCCCCAAGTCTCGTTGCCTACATCCCTATGGAACTCTAATATAAATACTTGCCTTGTTTATCCTGGATGGCTTGAGGTATCGTCTTCAAAATCTTTCCTAGGATAATAGAAATTGAAAATTTGATGCGCCACATGTTCTCTTTACTCAGTTGATAAATTCTTTACTCCATTTTCGCACAGTCGTATGTCTTACTGGTCTATTTGTCTATATCATTGAGTTTTGGAGAAGTGCGTACATCCTCCCGATCTTATTGTGGTCTGCGCATCGATCTTGAGTTGGTTCCTCGTATGGCATTCGAATAGAGTAACTGGTTCGTGGGAATCGGATGGGTGACCTCCTTCAGGGCAATCGTCTCCTTACCGTGGATGGGTGTCTTCTATGTCTATACCTTTCTTCTTTAGGCGATTTATGATGTTGTACCTCATAAGCTTCATCTAATTTGGTGTATTTGTGAGCTCGCGACATGAGTTCGACGAAGGTCAGGGGGGGTCTATACTTAAACTCTTAAACAACTTATTGTACCTGCAATTATTTGCCATGGCGCTAATGGCCACCTCATCATTCAAGTTCTCCACTTGCATCGCAATTTTTTGAAATTTCAACATGTACTGCCTTAGGCTCTACCCCTCTTAAACGAGCTCGAAATGTTGTGGCTAATTGGGAGAAGGAATGAACAGATCCTATTTTGAGTGTTTGATACCACTCTTAAGCTGCTCCTTAACAAGCAATCCCTAAAGATTTTTGAGTGTTTGGGCTCATCATTCAAGTTCTCCACTTGCATCGCAATTTTTTGAAATTTCAACATGTACTGCCTTAGGCTCTACCCCTCTTAAACGAGCTCGAAATGTTGTGGCTAATTGGGAGAAGGAATGAACAGATCCTATTTTGAGTGTTTGATACCACTCTTAAGCTGCTCCTTTCAGGGTAGTTAGGAAGACCTTGCACATTAGATCCTCCGAGTTGGTTTGAAGGTAAATTATTGTTCGGAAGGTCGCCAGATGGCTTCGGGGATCGATAGATCCATCATATGATTGGAAAGCAGAAAGTTTGAACTTTGGTGGGAAGGCTGCAGCCAAAATATCAATTGATAAGGGCAAGTTTTATTGGGGACCATAATCCCCTGTTTCTCCTATCTCTCTATGCTCCCGAACCAATTCCTTTACAACATTCCAAAGATTAGCTCCATCCAATATTGGATGAGTGTTACTTAGCTCTTGGCTGCTGGGGTTAGTCGCATTAGGGTCTACCTTCGATTTCGCCTCATGGTATCGATCAAACACTAAATGACTTCAGTATTTAGGCAAGGTTAGAGGGACGCTATATTCTAGGTGGGGAAGGTTCGCCGGCCTGGTGGATGGTACTGGCTCATATCTAGGCTAAGGGTTCTCTAAGAGGCATTTCAGCATGGTGGTGAACTACAAATAAGTTTGAGCTAGAGCAGCTGCTACCTGGGGATCAGTGGTTGTTAGAGGGCGAATGTGGATTGTTGGTTGGCCTCGCCACCGGTGTTGTCTTGGCCTTCCATGTTGAGGCGTTCAGTGGAACCGTTAGCCATAGGAATCGAGAAAAACTATGAGGATTTTTTTTTAGGGTTTGGAGGTGTGTTCCACTCTCACCACACACAATTGTTAAGCTCTCAAAATTTGAGATGTAATAAATTGTGAATTAACCCTTTTTGGAGTAAATTTGGTGTGTATATGCGAATCCTATATTATTCATAAGTTAGAGTTTATTTAGGAGTGTAATATTATTATTTTAATATATTTTATTATTATATGTTAATACATACTATTTGTAAAGCCGTTGAACTTTATTATCATTCTCCTTATAAAGAGTTTCTACTGATTATTAAACCCGATTCTCATAATGCAGTCTGTGGGGTAAATTATGACGAAAAAAAACCTTGAAGGTGGTGACCTCTTTCTTGTGCTTCTCATTATTAAATGTTAGTTTTGTTCATATCCCCAAGGTTAGTGAAATCTTTTGCTGATATAATAGCAAAAAAGGGTGTGGACACTGCTGCTTCTTTTTGGGCTTGGATTTAGTTTGGGCTAAAGCAATTCTTTCTTCAGTTTATAATTTGAAGGACTACTTAACCTGTATTTTATCTTTCTAATACGTAACATGGGTTCATTGCAAAAGGCTTGTTTGTTCTTATCTCAAGAATAAGCTTCTTTTTGTAACTTGTTTTCTTAGTTTAAATGTAATACGGACAAGTTTTGTCACTTGGCATTCTCTAACTAGGTTGGGTGCATAGAGAGAGTTTATTGCAAGAAAGTTGAAAAAACTATTTATAAATCTTTTATATCAAATCTGGAAATAGTATATCATCCTTTTAAATATATCCATCGACTAAATTTACGAATATATTACGAGTAATTCCCTAACCCGTATATGTATTTTGTATTCCTATTTAACCAATAAAAAAATAGGAAAAGTGAAAGATTGATATTATACCATTCAATTTAATGTCATTCACTGGTTGAATCATCTAAAAAAAAAAAAAAACGAAAACAACCATCATGAAGTTTTCTTACCAGTTATAGAGAATACCCCATTTTTGGGAACAGGTACAGTTGTTATTGCCTAATCAATGAAGCCAATTTGAAGTTTCATAACACCACGTAAAAATCGAGAAGAAAATGGTGAGAGGTCTAGACTTAATCAGACTTAATCTATAAAGAAGTGATTTTGTGTGGAGTCATGAGAAAGACGGCAAGGCTTTGAAGGTGGATCCTTCAACAATGAAGCAGTAGTAGTGTTTCGAATCCGAGAAAATCTGGGTAATTGGGCTTTGGGAGGAAAGTTAATGATAATAGAGGAGTTGTTAAGGGTATTTTAAAGATAAATATTGCATCTCTCTCGTACTAAAAAACGAAATAAAATAAATGGAAGGACTAATTTGTAACGGAATAAAACTACGGGGACATTACAGTGTATTGAAGTAACTAGTTATAGGTAATGAAGTAAACGTTTGGTCATTAATGTACAAGAATACAGAGGGATAACAGGGTTTCTAGGTTTTCGAAGCAATGGTGAAGCTGTTCTTTATGTGCAATCTGGAAATTTAGCTTCGTACATATGATCCTGATACTAGGAAAATATCTCTACTTTTGGATTCAATAATTATAGCTGTTATAGATTTTATAATATATTAATTAAGAGTCTTTTTTTTACTTGTGAAACCGTGGGATTGCAAGATCTTTAAAATATACAAGTGTATCTACTCAAAAAAGCGTTTCGTTACTCTTGAAGCCTAAAGAAGAGAATGAATATAAACGCTCATATTATCTCTTTAATTTATTTAGATTTTATTTAAGAATTATTAATTCAAGAAAAACATTAATATATGCTATGTGGTCATCGATATAATAGTTACATGACTAAACTATTAAAAATTTACGAATATATTATGAGTAATTGCCTTACATTTTGTATTCCTATTTAACCAATAAAAAAAAACTATAGCTAATTGAATAATTAGATTAAAAATTTTGTGTAAATTGTCACTAATTAAATAATTCAATTCACTAAATATGGCAGACAAAAACAGAAAATCGAAAAATCTGTCACTAAATCAGCTCTTTAGTATAAAACGAAGACCATAAGGGAAGGAAAGCAATAATGAAATATGAACTGTTATACCTTTTTTCTTCTTTTTCCAATACGCGCATTCTTTAGTCCACTTTTACCCCCTTTCTTCTGCGAAGTTGCTTGGAAAAGAATTGGATTGGGAGACTAGTCTTAGTCTTGGCAATTGGCTATGAACAGTAATTTAGCGAAATTATTCAAACGTGGGACGTGTTTGGTTTTGTAGAAAATGGATTGCCAGGCGAAGACTAGCTACAGATGACATAATTTCTTGAGTTTTCCTATATAAATGGTCACCGGAGCCAGAAGACTTGGGATTATAACATACAACAGAAAATTAAGCAACACCTAACTTATAAAATGAGCACTGCAATTAGAGTTGCTGTTATGGTAGGCATGGTGTTATGCCTTGCCTCCATTGCAAATGCTGCACAAGGCCGTGCCGTTTGGTATAAGCCTCCTTATACTCGTAAGTATATATATATCTCTCTTTTCTCTATTTATATCCCAACGAATTGATATAACTAACAACTGATTCAAATATGTTCAGCTTCAAAATGCTATGGAAATCAAAATAATGGGCTAAAGGTTGCTGGCGTAAGCGATGCCCTGTGGAATAATGGAGCAGCATGTGGAAGAAAGTACAGAGTGAGATGCATCGGAGGTGCAAACGAAGCACCACATCCTTGCAAAGGAGGCAGTGTTGATGTGACGATCGTGGATTATTGTAGTAGAGGCTGCCAGGGAGACATTAATCTCTCACAATATGCCTTCTCCCAAATTGCTGATACTGATGCTGGCATAGTCAGAGTTCAATATGACCAGTAAGCTAGCCTTCGATCAGAAAACTCTCAAACTTGAAATCCGATTTTATTTTTATACTCGAGCCTGTTTTAATTCCTGTGGATTTCTCTATAATTTGCAGGATTTGAAGCTTTCATGGGGAGGAGAGTTTTTCAAGGCCAAGTTATGTTTTAAGTACTATAAAATAAGCCGCATAATCATTGATCAAGGAGGTTGGCTACATCTGCTTCAAGAATGTAACATTAGCTACTGTCAAGTCTTACATAAGACTATGGGAATACCAACAAAAATAAATATTAAAAAAAAACTCATGTGAGAATAATAAATTTTAAGGGATAACATGAGGCTATTTGAAATATAGTTCTTTAAATTTGCATTTAATTAATTATTATCTGCTAATCCATCCGACAATAAGATTTATTTGTGTAAACCACCAGTATCTGGACCATATTATCAGTGACTTTCTAATCCGACTCAAGGCTTAGTCACTATTAAAGCTGTTTGCCCCTCTTTGTATGTGTGTTTAGTATCGAACCCTAGAGCTCTTCCCATGTGCTCAGCCTGCATTGCCAACTAAATCATTGTCTGTAGGTCATCTGAGCCACAACCCGTAGGTCATCAGGCAATAAAATTTGAAATAAAAGATTTATGCATAATTGCAACTTGACAAAGTCTACTGGGGAGTTTGATAAGTTTTTCCGGGATTTCTAATAAAATAAATTTATTTTGTCGATAAAAAAAATATAATTGCAAGAAATATTACATACTTGTATTCTTAAAAAAAAATAGAGCATATAAAACAGAAATGAAAAATAGATCCAAGATGATTGTAGCAACAACAGATAATTAAAATGGAAAGAAAAATAATCAAAGGTATAGAAGACATCTCAAAGCCTTGCCATCCCTGAGCAACCCAAAAGCTTCATTAATCTTTTCAAAAGGAAGTTCATGTGTTATAAAACCATCAAGATTTACGACCCCTCTCATGCATTCTCTAGCAAGTTGAGGCAATTGGCTCTTCCCTTTGAAGTTCCCGAACACTGTTCCGACCATGCTCCGGCCATCAAACAACTCCATTGGATGGAGAGGTAACATTTTCGGACTTGGATAAATTCCTACGAAGTTCCCGAACACTGTTCCGACCATGCTCCGGCCATCAAACAACTCCATTGGATGGAGAGGTAACATTTTCGGACTTGGATAAATTCCTACCAACACTGTCTTTCCCCATCCCTGTCATTTTTGTCATAAAAAAATTAAAAAAAAAAAAATTCTTCATAATCATTAACATTTGTTGAATTAAAAGGAAGATCGTAGAGTTTCCAAGTTACATCGTGAGTGGACAAGAAAGCTTCTCGAAGAACCTCTAAATTTCCAGTACATTCAAAGCTGTAATCTACACCTCCATCTGTCATTTCTCTAATTATCTGTAACATAATTAATTTCTCTGATTATTAATAATATGTGATTAGTCACTAATTAAGTAAACTGATTAATGATTGATGACCCTAATTAACTGGCTTTGATTCATCCTTTGGGTTTACAAATTTTGTCATTCCAATTGCTTTACCTGTAAAAAAATTGGTTGTTCACATACTTGCTAGATGTTGAAATTAATAGAAACAGAGTAAAATACCTCTGGTGAATTTTTCTGGATTGACATCAACGCCTATGATTTGTGATGCTCCTCTAGCTCGAGCTCCTTCTGCAACCTAGTTTCAGTAGTCACATGAACTTGGGTTTGTTTGTTAAAATTTTCTTTCTTCTTCTCTGCAATCTTTGTTGATTGTGATCAACAAGTTGAATACAAATTTCAAAAAAATAATTAAATGGAACATACTGCAAGTCCCAAAGCACCCAAACCAAAAATTGCAACAGTTGATCCAGCTTGTATGTTGGCAGCATTCCACGCAGCTCCCACCCCTTAATTTTCATCGATAGTTAGTTGTCAGTTGAGCCTACATTTGCATATTCATGTTACTTCGTTAAATATTTACCTGTGGATACGCCACAACTTAACAAGCTTATCTTCTTGAGTGGAGAATTTGGATCAATCTTGACAAGACAAGCAGAGTCAAGCACCGAGTATTCAGTAAAAGTGGAGGTGTTGAGAAAATGAAAAATGGGTTCTCCTTCTTTCGTGGAAAACCTACATTTTCCATCATTTTCCATTACGCTTTTGTACGGGTTAACCCTGAACTTTTTACACAGATTTGTCATTTCATTTTTACAGTATTCGCAATGTCCACATTCTCCATTGAAGATCGGAATCACATAATCTCCTTCTTTCATGTCTCTCACACCTTCTCCCACGCTCTCAACCATTCTGCATGCACCCTTTATTTGTCTATATTTTTATATAGAAAAACATTAATTCAAAAGGGTATACTAAAATGTATGACTTACCCGACTGCTTCATGGCCTAAGATTCGTGGAAATGCTCGTTGAGCTTCGTTCTTTGAAAAAATAGAAATTAAATTAATCATTTTGTAGTTCTTGTTATCTTCTTTTTCTTAATAAAAAATTCAAATATGTTTTGCTGTTCAAAAAAATTAATCATTTTGTAGATATATACACACACGCGTTAATTAAGAACCAATTATAATAATTACCTCGCCTTTCCAAGCGCTAAGATCAGTATGACATATTGAAGTATAGAGGATCTTGATTCGGACCTCCATTTTTTGAGGAGGATCAACTTGAATCTTTTCAAGAAGAAAGGGTTGTTGCGGGCCTCTCACCACCGCAGCTTCACCATGTTTGAACAGAAATTGATAATATAACCATATATGATGGATCAATTCTAAACATGAAAATGATGATGTACACCTTACCTTTGCAAGTAATGATCTTTCCGGCTGTCTCTGTTGAATTAAACAAACTCTGCCCATGAAAGTCTCTTAATTTTCTAGCTTCAACTTCATGTAGGCTGGCCATTTTTCAATATGCAATCAATGTGCTCTATTGATCTTTCAAGGTTGATACATATTATATACTAGCAGGATAAGAGATCTTATAAATCTAGTTCAAAGATAAAGATTACAACTTACAAGACAGCAACTTTTCCGGTTCAAGTTCAAAGGTAAAAAAACTTAACCACACGCAACCCTATTCTCTCTTACTTCTCTGTTTTCTCTTTAGTATTCTAACACTAGTTTTTAGTTTGAGGTTGACTGCACTACTTCTGCTTTTTACTCTTTCTTTCACTTCACCTTATTTTGCTTTCAATCTTATTTTGCTTTTACTCTTTTTTTCAATTTAATAAAGTCAAATATATTTTTTCTTATGTTGTTAATTTGGGTATAATTAATATAATATTTTTTTTAAAACCATTAAGGCCTTAATTAATTTCCAAGTGTATTTAATTGTCTTTTTTATTGATTTGTCAAAGATAGTATCATCATTGCATGTATTCCCTTTGAGATTATAAATTTGGTTTTCAAAAATAAAAATGTCTATGATATGACATTACATAATTTTTATCAGGGTAAAGCACTCCTTTTGACAGGTCAAATTATAAACTTAATGCATAAAAATATGCTTCGTCATTTTGCAGGTAACAGTTGCCTGAAATTCGGTATAATGAGGAACATCCCGCCTCTATCGAACCCAACCCCATAGTTTGGAAACATATATTTTTTGAATTGAGTCAATTATTTTTAAAATTTACGAGTTAGGCAGATTATTGGCTCCCTAAATAAACCATTAGATTGACTCAAACCGAAAATAATAATAAATATATTTATATAATTTTTATATATCAATAATAATAATGATGAAACTTGTGAATTGTACACTCAACCTAACTCATTTCTAACAACGTAACCCGTTTATAACACGTGAATTCATGTATTTGATGAGTTGAACTAGGTTAAAAAAGTTCGTTGATCCTCCAAGCATGGGTACCTAAATCAATAAATCTAAGTGCGAGCATTGGCTGGAAACAGACGAGTTCAGTTTTCAACGGTTCAGTTTCAATTTGGTTTTTAACAGAGACAATCGACATCAGTTTCAGTTTCATTGGTGCCTGAACTAACTTTTTTTCACAGCCCAAAATAATTAAACAGAGCCGAACTAACCGGATCGGTTCAATTTGGTTATTTTGTTGTTTTGTTCTGGCTTTGTTATCTTTATACAACTGGAATTATTCCGGAAAAACGGGGAAAAAAGGAATGCACAACTGTAACCATACAATCATGTCAACTTAGTTCTGATCCCCTTTTTTTGTTGATAGCAAAATTACTATTGCTGAATCAGAAAATAGATTACAGAAATAAATTCTCATCACCACAATTAAAATACTGTCTTCTTAATAATTCCAAATACATTCAAGGTCGATCATTTCGTGTGAAACGGTGATCCCATGCATCCAACCATCCCTGGCTTGATGAAACCAAGTGGTGTTGTCATTGTTCTAAATTCCAATGTTTGCTTCTTTGAGTTCGGACCAAGCTCATTATCCAACCATCCCTGGCTTGATGAAACCAAGTGGTGTTGTCATTGTTCTAAATTCCAATGTTTGCTTCTTTGAGTTCGGACCAAGCTCATTATGCACCCTTTCAGTGAATTATATTGTGCTTGCGTTCTGCTTGCAGTCTTAGAATCACCAGGAGAAAGATCCGTAACTTTTTGCAGTGTCAATGGCCTTGGTTGCAGTTCAAAATCCTTTTTTCCCAAAAAGTGCAGGATTCACAACTGAGCATAGGATCAGTACCTGCTGAACAGATTGTGCTTTGACATCTATGTTGCGCTTGCTATCCGATGCAAGTGCAAGAATCTCAGTACACAATTTTGGAAATGTTGCCAAGAGGTGCTTCAGTGCCATTTGTTTCAGCAAAGAGACTGTAATGCATTCATTTAGACCATGGATTTTCATCACTGACCCTGGAAATAGCAATCATTAGATAGAAAAAAATTCACCTGGTCACATCAGCTTTTTCATGCGATAACAAAATATAAAGGCACCTACCTAATGGAAAAGGCTGGTTCTCCATCTGTGAATTCTGCCATCCACTATGTTCATTATGAGCATTGCAGTCAAAATGAATATATAAATGGGTTCCATGAAAGTGTGATAAGCTAAAAGCAGTCCTTTGACTGTCCACAAGATTATATGCATTAATCAAAAACCAAAAAAATCTCACCCTCTTCTATGATCAAGCAAATATGACTAGTTGTAAAAGTACTTTATCCTTTCAGAATACTCCCAAAGGATAGCAGCTGTACCCTCTTCTATGATCAAGCAAATATGACTAGTTGTAAAAGTACTTTATCCTTTCAGAATACTCCCAAAGGATAGCAGCTGTATTATCTTTTCACACTCATCGACCAGAGATTTTCTTCCAAAAATCCAAATTTGGTTACAGTTGACTTGCTCCAACTTTCTTCAACTGCTTTCACAAGAGTCTTTAGTGTCCATGTGGTGTGGCAAAATACTCAGCACGTCAGTTGTCAAATTCTGACCTAAATAACTCTTAAGTTCAGCTTTGATTATACATTGATGGGTTGTAAAACATCAACTGCCACACCAATGGGAAATTCAACCTTTTTTTGGTCATACATCCCTATGTAAGATTTTCATACAACAATGAGAGCCTGAAAGTTCTTAAATAACTCTTAAGTTCAGCTTTGATTATACATTGATGGGTTGTAAAACATCAACTGCCACACCAATGGGAAATTCAACCTTTTTTTGGTCATACATCCCTATGTAAGATTTTCATACAACAATGAGAGCCTGAAAGTTCTACACCCAGTAAAGGAGTGGAGAAAGAATATTCAGAAACGCCTTGTATTAATTCATCTCAGATGCAATTATATATAAGAGAAGTGTCTAAGAAATAAAAACATTACTCTACAGCAGTGGAGCAAGAATAAGCAAACGCATGCCCTTTTGATGGAGGCAAAACCGATTGTAATTTTTCTATCATTTGATTGAGCTCCCCCAACTTGTCTGCCTTGTTAGATTTCAGTAAAACCCTCTCCAACATCCGATATACTGCTTCACTCAAACGCATTCCTGTCTCCAAATATTGCTTTGAGCATTCAAAAGCTTCTTGTGACCTCCCCCGGGAGCACAATCCTGTCACCAATAGATCCAATGCATGACCATGAGGACAATATCCCTTTTCCAACAAGTATTGCCAAAAACCCAAACCCAAATCAATCCGACTATTCACACAGAATATTCCACAACGAGGAAGAATGTGCATGCAACATAGACACCACCCCATGTCGTGTTGTAGGGTGGCATATATATATTCCTTTCTAATCATCTTTTCCATAAATGCTCGCAGATCACTCTCCAATGTGCTGTGCTGCGTTTCGATCGCAATCGCTGAGAGAAGGGAATGGTGGGTGAGCGGGGGGCCCCATGGTACGTCTCACACTATCATGCCCTAATACATTCTCTTTTTCTCATTTTCGAGTCGCATGCAGGAGGCGCTCAGTAGCGAGACTTGCAGTGGTTCGTCGTACGGATGCGTATAGGTGAAGCAAGTCAGAAGCGAGAGTGTGAAATAGCTCCAAGTATCAAGCATTAGCAAATTTTCTCCTGCAAATTTTCATATTAATAACTATAACACTGGCCATATATAAAATTATGTTCCTCCCACGTAAACCCCTGCCTCATGAATTTCATACCCCCCTTGGTAGTAGGTTCATCGTTCCAATGTATGGTCATGTCATATTTTAGTGTCCTTTCCTATCTCCTCTCTTTCCATAAAAATTAAGCGTGCCAGGAAACACACAATCACCAAAAAATAAACCCTTTTTTTGCAAGTAAGCATCAATCCGGAATATTATAATTTAAAAGCAAGTTGGCCTTGAAGCTCTCGAAACCCAATCCTCATGGTTAAAAAACAGTTCCATTCAGTAATATCCCTTGGATTCCTTAAAATCCAAAAAAAGAAGCAAGATATTATCAGGGTGAGGTTGTTAGGCAATTAGGGAATTAATTAAAAACGATCCGTATGCTATCTTTTAAAGAAAAAAAAAACCCGACTCTGTATTCTGTCCTGCTCTTGTTCATTCTCCCACGCTGTTTGAGTGCTGGAGGAAAATTGCTCGGGAAAGAGAAGCACAGGGTTAGAGCACTCTGCAGTACCAAAATGTCTTTCCACAAAAAACCCACTTTCTCCATCTTTTCAATGCTTCAAGTATCTTCATAGGATTGAAATTTGGCAGTTTTTGGGATACATGATGCTCATGGACTTCTATGAGTGAGCAGGGGAAAGAGGTGTGTTTTTTCCATTTCCATTCATTTAAATTCCCAAGCTGTCTCCAAAATAGCGCATCCGTGGAAGGATGTGGAGTAGTCATTTCAAAAGGCAAAATGAAACTTGGAAGTAAAAAATGGAATTATGAAGGAGAACCCCTTAAAGAACTCCAAGCCTTTGCGAGGGGCCATTGGAACTGAGCTGCAAAGAGGGCCGGGGCCGGAAGAACATTCTCAACAATGCAGTAGAAAAGAACCGTCAATAAGACAGATGCTGTGCAAAAAAGGTGGGTTTGAAGTGGTTCATCAGGAAAGCGCTTATCAGTTTATAATTTTGGTAATTCTTTCAACCTCCAGACACGTGTATGGAATTATTTATAAAAAAAAAAGCAAATAAGGGAGGATCTCTTGGTAAGGGATTGTGAAAAAGTTGATTACTTTTGTGCCGCAAATTGCCAAAAAGTAGAAGCATTATCCTGCTCCCGTTTTTGAATTGAGAATTTGGCAAAAAAAGACTACTCTTCCATTCTTTCAGGCAACAAAAAAAAAAAAAAGATAATAACCGTATGTTGGAGTTGAAGACCGAGAGATCACATTTCTCCAAAATTACATCTCGTAAATTACTATTTATAAGAAAAAAAAAATGATTTTAAAAATTATAAATCAGCAAGAGACACCAAATAAATAGATTAAGGAATTTTTCAGAAACAAACAGAAAGAAAAAAAAAAAAAAAAGAGGAAGAAGGAAGAAGAGGAAAAAAAAAAAGAAAAGAAAGAAAAGAAAAAGAAAAGAGGAAAAGGAGGAAAAAAAAAAAAAAAAAAAAAAAAAAAAAAAAAAAAAGGGCTAAACGGCTTGCTGATACCATAATATACAATAAACATGAGAGTTGCAAGTAAACGGGTGATATTTTTATGTTAATCAAATGGAGAGAGTTAACTAGAATAAAAATTCAGTTAGATTATTGATGTTGCAGAGAG